AAATAAGCAAGAAAGCTACATGCTCTCGAGGGGTAACAGACCCTTGGCCCATATATGCCGCCACATAGCCAGACCAGCCACCTATGCTTTTGGTCTTGAAGTTGAATTGGTTCTTGGTGTTCATGCTCATAGGGTTAGCCGATGAAGTTACATCTAATCCAGTAATCATGGTGATGTCAATTAAAGTTGGAGTCATCGGCCCTTGGTTGAATAAGAAAGCATTAATGGTGTTGGACTAGAAGTAGGTGGCGGCAGCCATCAGAGGTTCATCCTTAGTAGAATTGGCTATGGTGAGAGCGAGTGCTTGGCCGATTCCAATTTCATCCCAGTGAACTTTCTTACTAGCCGATACGCGTTGGTACTAGGTGGTCCAGCTCTTATCAGGAGTAGGTTTTTCGAGAGATGGCCAAGACTTGAAGGTATTCTTCCAGTGACTCAGGTTAGGGTTGGCTAGTCTAAAGGGGATCCGGTTAGTTTCACCGATGATGAAATCAGTGGGGTCGAGATTGCCGATTGGGCCAAGAAAATAGTGGTTTTTGTGTGAAAGGCTGGGAATCGCGACTAGGTTGGAAAGGTGCTGCAAATCCAAAGGAATTGGGAAGTAGAAAACAAGAGGAGAAAAGGAGAAATTGAGTTCATGCGAGGAAAAGGGAACTAGCTGGTGAGGACTTACCTCAGCGTACTCAGCCGATGGCGCAGTAGAAGGGCTGGTGGAAGACGACATCGCCGCGGGCGGAGATTTGGTTGGGAACAAAATCGCCCGGGGATCGTCTTGTGCGTCGGGGAGATCACCGGAGAGAGAGAGAGAGGGCAAAGTTGGTTTCAGTGGCAAAAACGGAGGAGGACGGTGTGAGATTTCTCGAGGGTAACGGTTAGTATTTAAAGCACGGCAGTAACGGTCGGAAAACGGCAAAGTGTGAAACTTGCTCGGAGTCGATTTACAGCAAATCTGAAACTCTATCGAATATTCCGGACTTCGGGGGCATGTGTTAACAACCAAATTTGGTAATATCGGCATCGGGAAAGAAGATTAGATCGAAGCAAAGTTGGAGGCAGAGATCGAGTTCGGAAACAGAGCAGGAATCGGCTGGAGTCCAGATCGGCTACGATTAGGATCGGCTGGGTCTGAGTCGGGCTAGGTAAGCCGATGCAGTCGATTCCGACAATGCAACATGATGTATGACATCGGGTTGAATTGAGGTGCTTCAAGGTGATTGCCGCACATGGATAGAGTCATGAGAAGGCAATTGTATCTATTAATTAGGATGTTTTATGTAATTTCATTAGAGATATGCTTGGGCAAAAGTCTGCCGCAAAGACTTATGGTATCTTAGAGTTTGTTAGAGATAGTAGTCGTGTCCGTTATGGACATATCTTGTAATTCTCGGGTATAAATAGACCCGAGCCCTATGTAACTTTTAACACACACGTTCAATACAATTTCGGCGCATCGCCACCATTTTTGCTTTAGTTTTATTTCGATGAGTTCTTGCTTTCGGGTTGAGCTGCATCGGTTTTGATCTTCAACAAGAGGTAAAACTTGTTATGGCGGCTTGTGTTTTCGGGATTAGTGCTTCCATCTTTATGACACTCTAATTTTGTTTATGTAATTCGTCGAGTTTTCATATATCCTACATAATCCTTGGCAATATCGATATCTGACCTACAATCGGCTAACATCCATCAGTAGAAGGCAGCCGATTAGGTTAAATGCCGTTGTTGACTTAGATTATATAGGATATCTACCACTCTATGACACATCCAATAGCTTGATTGTCTAGATATTGTCCTTCTTTTCATACTTATAGCTGCATCAGTTAAGTTTGATCTTATGAGTTGTGATTAGAATCTCAATCTCTAGCCCGCTTCTTGGTTGCTGATTAGGGTAGTATCGGAGTTTCGGAGTTTCAGCCGATCTTGCTTGATTTAACTACTTTTTATCCTATATGCTTGATTGACATGTTAAATCTGCCCTTTACGTTAAGATCTTGCTGCATTTAAGTATATTAAGATTTTGTTTAGTATATTCTACTTGCTTTAATATCTTAATATAGAGTGGTATCGGAGTATTAGCTGATACATGCTAGATCTATCTGATCGGCTATGCTATGAACGTATATAGTCTCATTATTAATATATATTTCGATCTAAGTGATTTATACTACCTCGACATGGCGACCGATCTATCCCACTCAATTGATTTAAGTATATATTGATATAAAGATTATATATTGGTAATATCTGCAGCTGATCGAGTAATTCAATCCTTTCTTATTTATTAATGACTGCCGATCGATGCATATACGACATCGGCTCAAAGATAAATGATATGTCATCGGCACCTCGCCGATCGGCTATCATTTATAGATTTAACTGCGATTTCTTTGCTTCTATTTCTTGTTGATTACAGGATCAAATCAACTGGCACGCTCATACATTCGAATGCGAGCTTTGGACCTGCACTGGAGTTAAGAAGATCTCCCAGGCCTCGTGTTTTCTGTCAACAGCGTGTTGTTCAGAGTTGAATAAAATTAATGATTAAATTACTCTACTGTTTCGCTACTCTTAAATCTTTGCTAAATGCTGCTTTTGCAAATGAGCCTATATTATGCCATCCTTTGGTATCCTTGTGGACTTGCATATTTGTTGTGTGGCTTGTTGAGTATGTCATATGCTCATTCTTGCAATAATCAATCAACCTCAGTTGAAGAAAAAGGATCCAGAAGGAGAAGACGTTTGGCTTATACCCCAGTTGAGCTGCCTATGGGGGTGAAGCTGGAGCTTCGCTAGATTTTATTTTTCCACAGCAGTTTTCTTCGTTGTGAGGACTAAGTGCCTCTTCAGTAAGTATTAATTGCTTTAGTTATTTTGATGTATCTGTATATAAAATTGTCAGTTTGTGTACCTCGGCTGATTCCTGGATGGGGATTTTATGCACAAATAAGTTCGGAAATTACTAGTGAATTTCCGGGCGTGACAAGTTGGTATCAGAGCCATCTCGACTGTAGGATAAGCCAAATGGTCAGACTTTAAGGACAAATTTTCTGAAAACATGATTTGTGAAAAATTTTCTTTTCTTCCTTCTCTAAAATTCTTTGCAAATTGTTTTATCGTTCTTTCCCCTCCCACTTTCAACTTAAGTAGTTGTTAAACTTATTAGAGAAACTCGAAGACGTCGATGTGGTCTACTTATGGAGGTCAAGTCAAGTGAGTCGAGGAAAAAGAAGATAATGGTCGAACTGAAGTGCGGAGCTTTTGTGATGGAGTGAAGTTTGGATCCTACCTTAGAACCTAAACCACCAAAGTGACTTTGAAGTATAGTCAGTAGGGTACAACGTTTGTTACTTGCTTGTGTGTAGGTATGGTTGCATTCCCATCATTGGGTGTGATGAGCGTGTAATTATACTAGGTTGCTTGCTTAATCAACTTAAACAATATAATGGTTTACACACATCAGATCAGTGGTAACATGGTTAAGGTCTCGTCTTTAGTGTGACCCCTCTCCTTCTAACTTTTCAAACTCTGCGACGGATAAAAAAAATGCAAGCTATAGTGGGAACAACAACAATGCTAGTGGATCAGGAAGTTGGACCAATGGATCAATTTAGGACAATCACTTGGGCAGAGTTCACTGAAGCATTAAAGAAGACACACATAGCTGCAGGAGTTGTTTTTTTGAGGAAACGTGAGTTCAAGACACAAACAAAAGGATGATACCATGACAGAGTACCTCCATGAGTTCAACCGTCTAGCTCGCTATGCTCTAGAAGATGTGCGTACTGACGAAGAAAGGTAGGAGAAGTTCTTGGAAGGTCTGAAGGATGAGCTGTTAATTATGTTGATCCCTCATGACTGCGGATTTCAGGAGCTGGTTGTCAAAGCAATTCGACTGGAATATAAGAAGAACAGGATGGACAACCGTAAGAGAGGAAGGATTGTTTCCCAGGAGGCACAGGGTAGTAGCCAAAGGCAGCGTACCAAGCCACTCCAAATTGGTGAATCTTCTTCTGCATGTCAAGAACAATTACAACAGTTGGACATTAGTGGTGAGATCAACTCAGAGACTAATACAAGAAATGAAGTTAACATGGAGAAAGCTACTCAATTAGTGCTAGTTCAGCAGGATCAGTCTCAAGAAGGTAATAGTAATGGAAGGGAGCAGCAGTTGTGTTTCAATTGTTATGAGCCAGGTCACTTTGCAAGAGAGTGTTCGAAGCCGAAGCATCAACATCCACAAGGTCAAGTCAACAACATCATCCTCACAGGAGCAAATGCAGTGCCGGTTGCGTCTTCAAGTGATACAGCTCAGCGATCAGTTTCAAAGCAGCAGTAGTTTTTTTAAAGCCTTAGAATAATTATTGGAGCTAGGGAATAAGATAGACTGCAGTTTTACCTATTTCCTTTTTCTTTCTAGCCGTTCCGAATCTCGAGACGAGATTCTTTGTAAGGGGGTAGATTTGTCACATCCTGATTTTCGTTTTAGGATTTATAAATTATCTAATAAATTATTATTAGAATTTATATTAAATGTTCATTAATTTACAAGTGAAGTTAAATGTGGAAAATAAAATTTCCTAAATATAAAGCATGGATGGATTTAATTTTTATTCAATTCTCCATGGTTAATTATACTCTCTGGAATTTTCTCGGATTTTTCGGAGCTCAACTCTTAATTTTAATCATACAAACAATATTTCAGTAATTATCCACATATTAAATTAATCATTAAATGGTCTGGTTTTAGTATTTTTAAATACTTTGAGTGTCCAAGTATGTTCAAGATTTTTCTTGGAATTATTTGAGCATAGGAAGTATTTTTAACAATTCAAAGATCATTTCAGTGATTAATTTAATTGAAAAAGTAATAAAAAATCCTCCTCCTCAGCTTGGGCCCTTTTCAGCCCATTCCCTCTCCGCTCTCCTTTCCTTAGCCGCAGCAGCCCACTCTCCCTCTTTCTCTTGGCTGAAGTCCATTCAGGTCCCTCCTTCAGTCGGGCCGGAGAAAAAGTAAGCCCAGACAAAGTCTACTTTACCTCCCCGGTACTGTTCATCTTCCAGCTCCAGACAGAGCCCGAGCCAGCCGTCCCGAGATTGTGCAGCGCCGTTTTCTCCTCCAAATCTAGTCTCCTCTCTCGTGTTATTTCAAAATTAGTTGAGGGGAAATATTCCTCTTATGCTTCTCTATCTTTTTCCCCCAAGAATCGGACTTTATCCCGAAGAAATCAACGCGGAATCGAGCTCGATTCGTGTTTATCTCTCCACCAAACCCTAGGTTTTCCTGGCGCGATTCCTTGCGTTCCAAGCGCGATCTCTCTCTCCCATGGCTATAAATAGAGTCCCCTCCCTCTCCTCTTTCGGCCGCCACCTCTCCCTCTCTCCGCCGTCGCTTGTAGCGCCGTCGCCGCGTTCGTCTTCTCTCTCCGCCGCCCGCAGCCGCTCCAGCCGCCGTTTGCCGCCGCCTCGGCCGTCGCCCTCCTGTGCCGCCACCTCTCTCGGCTCCGCAAGGTCAAGAGCAAGCCCGGCAGCCGGTTCCCTTGCGCCGAAGACCCCGGGAAGCCCATCGTCGCCATCAACCCGAAGCTCGCCGTCGTGTTTTGATCTCCGGCGAGGCTCTGCAGCTCCTCCCGTCATCGCCAAGCTTCGCCGCCGCCTCCATTGGATTCGCAGCCGCGAAGTGAAGCCCGGCCACCCCTCCATTGTCGCCGAAGGTCGCCGAAACACCGTCGCCGCCGTGGACAGTACCTCGCTGCCATCTCGATCTCGTCGCCGGCCATCTTCCGTCACTGTCTGTCATCACGTAAGTGTTGGTAAGAATCGCCGTCGCCTTCTCTACCTCTCGGTGCCCTCTGTTTGCATTGTTGTGTTGTGGTTCGCCGGCAACCGCCGCACCTATGTCGTTCACCGGTGTAGTTTATCCCTAGGGTCTTAATTCAATATAATCTAATCCGTGGTTGATCTAGCGCGTTGTCATCTCCGTGTGTTGCTGTCGGAACGTTGTCATCATCCCTTCCTCTCCGATCGCTTTGGTTCGGTGCGACTTCTATCCGTTCTCTCTTTTCAATGGTATATTATTTCTTTTTAATATATGTCATCTACCAAATATAATCTAATCTTTTTCGGAGGTCGTTTTAATCTTTTCTCTCAGTTATAAATCATTTGTAAATGGTTTAATTAATTTGGAATAGTCTTTTCTTTAATATGTTTAATTGGAATTAAATCTTATAAAATTCATATCTAATTCATATGAAGTCGGAATGAGGCCGTTCAAGTCTCTAAATTCATCTAAAATCATGATTTACATGTTTGTTTACATTTTATGTACTGTTTATTTGGTTTTTATTAGTTTTTTTCTCCGTTTTGCGTGTTAGCTTGTCGTTTCCGTTGTTGCGAAGGTTCGCGAGTGTGTTGGAAGTGGTTCTGAAGACTAATTGAAGACTGATTATTGCAAGGCAAGTCACACAGATCCCAAACATGATTCCTTTGAGCATGTTGATCCTATATTTAAATTCTCTATTTATTTCAACAATGCATTTATTTTCGAATGTCACCGGGTGGTGTGAACATATTCCTTTGTTATGGCCAATTTGTATTGAATGCCCTATTCCTTGATACCTTGGGTAATAAATTGATTAGCTTGAACCTTATGTATTGGTTTGGTTCAGCTAAATGCTATATATATAATTGCTTAGCCATGCCTAGAAACATTAGTTCATTAATAGGATGAATCCTACTACATTATTATTTATGGTTATATTTAATGGTACCTCACGATGGTTAATCATGTTATAATAATTAATTGATAATTAAAACTTGATAATGGTGGGTTGTGAGCACATGGTTTTGAAGGTCGTGCTCATGACAATTAAGGACCGGTTCGCGAGCTACTGTTGTGAGACATTAACCGTGCCAACCACAAGCCAGCGTGGGCAACGGCTTTACCTTTTGTATAGCATGGTTCATTGCGGGGCACCAGACTGTGAAGCGGCGAGAAGTCCGTGGGGGTCGCTGGGGAGTCCATGCCTCTGGTTATTGAGGGGGTGATTATGATCCAGGAACGGTGGCTGTGGTGGATTGTGTTGTGCAAGGTACTGTCACAGTTCCTATCCGAGATATCATGGTGGTATTGAGGCGCATGGTAACATGTCGTGGAGCTGTGTCTTGTGGGTACAGTGGTACATCTCTGGCCAGAGTAAAACTATTCGAATAGCCGTGCCCGTGGTTATGGGCGAGTTGAGCAATGTTTTTCGTGATTAGTCTCATACCTCTCACAATAATTATTGATGCTATAATTGGTAATAATTTGCTTAGCTCCTGGTTTGGAGTTAGATCTGTACAGCCGGGTATGGTTGTTCAGAATGGTTGGGCCTGAGCAGCATGGGCGTATTGTTCAGAGTTGATTAAAATTAATGATTAAATTACTCTACTGTTTCACTACTCTTAAATCTTTGCTAAATGCTGCTTTTGCAAATGAGCCTATATTATGCCATCCTTTGGTATCCTTGTGCACTTGAATATTTGCTGTGTGACTTGTTGAGTATGTCATATGCTTATTCCTGCAATAATCAATCAACCTTAGTTAAAGAAAAAGGATCCAGAAGGAGAAGACGTTTGGCTTATACCCCAGTTGAGCTGTCTGTGTGGGTGGAGCTGGAGCTTCGCTAGATTTTATTTTTCTGCTGCAGTTTTCTTCGTTGTGAGGACTAAGTGCCTCTTCAGTAAGTATTAATTGCTTTAGTTATTTTGATGGATTTGTATATTAAATTATCAGTTTGTGTACCTCGGCTGATTCCTGGACGGGGGTTTTATGCACAAATAAGTTCGGAAATTACCTGTGAATTTCCGGGCGTGACAGCATGTATGCAACACGTTGCTTCATCCATGTGACTTTGAGAAACGCGGCATAACTAGTGTTTCCAAGCTTTGCCATTTCTTGGTTGCATGTGATCGAGCTGTAATCTAAATTCGTAATCTTTTAATCTTTTGAGCGCCGCACTATAATCAGGATGATGATGTTGCCCTCGATCAGGTCACTGGGCCCACCATCTTGCTCAGACCGCTAGCGGCGCACACAGTCTTTGCCTTGAGATGATAACCCCTCAGGCGGAGATCTCTGTGAAGAGCATGAGGCAACCAATACCAGCGGGCTTCTCGTTAGAATTATCAGATGTTTTGCTTTTACCCTGGGATAGCGTCAATCCCCCGGGCTGTGTTCTACCCCGGGGCACGTACTGTGCCTGGGCCCATTGGACGGACCCGAGCCCCAGGCACAGTCCCGTGCTTTGTAATAGAAGTCTTCATTATGTTGGACGAATTTCTGGAAGATGTCGTTGATGAAGGAGTTCATGATGGACACAACTCTACAAGTTTATTCCAATACGCAATTGTATCTATGCCTTGAAGATGCAAATCTTGATGGAAGCCAGGGCTTAAGGGAAGCAAGGGACCCAATTCTTGTTCTGTGCCAGATGTCAGTCCCCACATATGCATGCCAGATGTCAGTCCCCACATATGTAGGTTGTCACCTGGCAAATGAATTCTAAATATGACAGAAAGTAATAATGTGGCCCATGGTACTTTAGGATCCCGGAGAAAGGGGGACCCCGGTTCCCATTTCTCCAACACATAGGATTCTTCAAAATAATAAATTTCAAAAATAAAAACTCATGTGTTGCAATAGTTCCCTTTGTTCCACCGGTCATATGTCATAAATCATACTGGATAAATTGTCTACTTTGCAAAACAAATAACTTACTCTTATTTCATCATTATTATCTAGCTATTATTATCTAGTTGCTTGTTGTATACCTGGTTTGAGCATAGAATTTGATATTCCTCTTAACTCCCAGATTTGGCACCTAGCTAGAGTAAGAATAGGAAAACATGGCCAGATTTAAAAAGAACCCAAAACTTGCTATGCGAGGCCAGTCTAACCGCCACTGTAGGGTAAACTTGAATGCGTAATATTATTACTAAAAGTTTTTTGGTGAGCTTAGGTAGATAGTGCAATGAAGGCGTGCGGTTTTATGGTAGTGAGTACAACATATCACTTATTTAGATGTGGCAAAACTTAAGTATATCACAATGAGTACAAGTTTACTTGCGATTATACGTTTCAATAGCCAAGGCTTTGAGTGGTGTCTCTTTGTGAAGCACCATCCCATACTTCTCTCTCATATCCACACCATCTTTCTCGGCTCCTTCTGGAAGCTTCCAGTCGAAGTGAAACAACAGTGACGCAAGAACCATATGAACCATCCTGTACGCCAGTGGCAAACCAAGGCAGATCCGCCGTCCGCCACCAAACGGGATGAACTCGGGATGCTTGCCGAAGAAATTGGTGTCCGTCTCCATGAATCTCTCCGGCATAAACCTATCAGGATCAGCCCACACGTCAGGCTTGCGATGGATCGCCCAAATATTCAGTATGATGTTGGTGCCTTTGGGAATAATATAGCCTTGCACTTCCACTGTAGCCTCTGCTTTGTAGTACGTCATTGGGACACTTGGGTGGAGCCGGAGCGTTTCTTTTAGTACAGCTTGGAGGTAAGGAAGCTGGCTAATGTCAGACTCCTCTATCTCTGTTCTAGTACCCAAAACTCTCCTAAACTCGTCCTTCACCTTCTGCATTGATTGTGGATTTTGCAGTAATTCAACAATTGCCCACTCTATTGCAGTTGAGCCCGAGTCAGTTCCAGCGACAAATAAATCCTGGGATGTGTGTTGATCAAAGCCAATTCATCAATATTATGCAGATTGTGATGAACGATTGAAATGATAACTAATTACTACCGTCTTCTGTCAAACGAAAATGAAACACTAATTGGATGTCATTATCATACATTCTCGTCTCGTCTCGCTTTCCATTGAATTGAGAAATAATTTAAGATTCAAGAATTAATCATACCGCGATGAGTCCCTTGATGTTATTACGGTCAATCACAGGATTGTTGTTCTTCCATTCGTCTTCGTTATCGAGCGCCACGTCCAGCATGTCATCCTTCCGCGGCTCGCCGGCTTCACGGCCACCCTTCCGCCGAGCAAGAAGCTCGTCGATGATCCCATAGGCACGCGCTACTAGCTTCCCCATCCTGCGCCGCAAGCCCTGCAGGCAATGTTTTAAATAACGGGGTTAAGGCATTTATCGGTTAGCTTCTCAAACAGTTATAGCTTCCGCTACAGTAGACTAAATGGAGTTATAACGACTAAATTGTACATGAGAGCAAATAGCTAGAACCCTTCTCAAACAGCTATAGCGGGAGATTTAAAACCCTGCCTGCAGGTCGGCGGCCGCCATCGCCGGGAAGAAGTCGGAGGCGTTGGGCGTCGCGGCTAGCTTGGTGGCCTCCTGGACGGCGTCCCTCAGGTCGGGTCGACGAGGTCGGCGGAGAACGCGGTGCACGACAGGATGCCCAGGAATGCCTCGAACGCCTCGAGCCCGACCTCGACGGGCTCGCCGCGCGCCGCTCGCCTGGCGACGCAGCGCATCAGCTCCCGAACCTTCTCCCGCCGCGTCGGCGCCAGCGCGTCGAGCCTCCTGGGCGACATGACCTCCTCCGTAGCGAGCCTCCGCTGCGCGCGCCACACGCCGTGCAGCGGGAGGACGATGACGGAGTTGCGGTGGTGCTCCGCGCCCCGCCACACGTCGAACAGCGGGCGGGACGCAAGGTGCGCGTTGTGGCTGTGGTGGTGGATATCGCCCGCGACGGCCGGCGACGAGGCGACGACGTAATCGACGACGCCGAGCCGGACGCGCATGAGCGGGCAGTAGCGCTCGGCGAGGCGCGCGAGCGAGCGGTGGGGGCCGCTCCGCGATACGGACAGGAGGTTGCCGACGAGCGGAAGAGGCGTTGGTCCCGGAGGAAGGCGGCGGCGGCGCGCGGCGGCTACTCGGTGGTGCATGGCGAGGTAGAGAGAGGCGAGGACGATAGCAACAAGCAACCAAGCCAGGGATGCCGCCATGGCTAGCGTACGTTCAAGGGGTACGTACGTGCTGATCGACCTTGATATGATGCAGTAGCTTGCACCATATGCCTCAATTTATAGTGAATGCTCTGGCCATTAGAATGCTATTACTCCTTCCATGTCATATTACTACGTGAATACCCCGCCGCATTGCTGCGGGAAATTAAGTTATATCATATGTATAAATAACATACAATACAATTATTAAAACTAAAACAAATTGATACTTATGAATTTTAAGCCGAAAATAATTGAGATTGCATGGTGTTATGAGAGAAGAAAGAAGAGACAATTTGAACCACAGCTCTATCATCCAAATGCTAGAAATAATTGAGGTCATGTGGCATAATAAGAGAAGAGAGAAATAGCATTAACTATGTAGGATCTGTTAACAACCAAATTTGGTAATTCAGGCATCGAAGGTAAAGATAAAATCGAAGCAGAATCCAAGATATGGATCTTCCGGAAACAGAGTAAGAATCGGCTGAAATCCGAATCGGCTGCGACCAGGATTGGCAGAGTTCGAGTCGGACAAGGTAGCCGATTGAGCCGATTCCGTCAAAGTGTCCCGATACACATCATCGAGTTGAGTTAATGTGCTTCACATGGATTGCCACACACGGATTGAGTTCTGAAAAGGCAATTGTATCTATTAATTAGGATATTTTATGTAAATAACTTAGAGATAAGCTTGGGCAAAAGTCTGCCGCAAAGACTTATGGTATCTTAGAGTTTCTTAGTGATAAGAGTCGTGTCCGACAAGGACATATTTTGTATCTCGGATATAAATATGACTCGAAGCCATGTAATCAAACAACACACGTTCAATATCAATCTTGGCGCATTGCCACCCTTTTTACTTTCGTTTCATCCCGACGAGTTCTTGCTTTCGGGTTGAGCTGCATCGGTTTCGATCAACTAGAGGTAAATTTGTCATGGCAGCTTGCGTTCTCGGGATTAGTGCTTCCATCATTATAATACTCTAATCTTGTTCATGTAAGTTGTCAAGTTATCATATATTCTATGTAATCTCTAGCAATATTGTTATTTAACCCTCAATCGGCTAACATCTGTTAATGGGAGGCGGCCAATTAGGTTAAATACCAACGTTGACTTAGATTATATAGGGTGTCTACCACTCTATGAAGTTTCCAAAAGCTTGATTGTTTAGATATTGTTATTGTTTTCATACTTATAGCTGCATCAGTTGAGTTTGACCTTATAAGTCGTGATTAGAATCTCATTCTTTAACCTGCTTTTGGTCGCTGATTAAAGTAGTGTCGGGGTTTCAGCCGATATTACCTGATTTAGCTTTATATCTTATATGCTTGATTGACATGCTAGATCAGCCCTTTATGTTAAGATGCTGTGGCTTTCAGGTATATTAAGCTTTCTGTTTGGTATATTTTGCTTGCTTTAATATCTTTATATAGAGTTTTATTGGAGTATTAGCTGATACATGCTGGGTCTATTTGATCGGCTATGCTATCAACTCTTATAATCTTTTCGTCAATATATATTTCGATCTAAGTGATTTATATTGTCTCGGCATGGCGACCGATCTATCCCAATCATTTGGTTTAAATATATATCGACAAAGGGATTATATACTAATGATATCTACAGCCGATCGAGTAGATTTAGTTCTATTTTGCTTATTTACAACTGCCGATCGATTCAAATATGACATCAGCTCAAAGGTAAATGATATGTCATCGGCGGCTGGCCGATCGGCTATCATTTATGGGTTTAACTGCTATTTTCCTATTTTATTTCTTGTTGATTGCAGGTTCAAATCAACTGGCACGCTCACGAACCTAAAAGGCAAGATTTTTGGACCGGCACTGAAGTTAAGCAGATCTTCCAGGCCACTGTCTGTTTTCCGTATCAACACGCTTTTGGTACGCCCAGTGGGACCGAGTTTCAATAACTTTTCTCATGGCTGAGAAACCACCGCAGTCGCCAGCGACGGTGGGCAAGGCCGAGCCACCTCTTAGCAAGCCACCACCTGGGCAACCGTCTGAGGTCAATAAGGGAAACATCATCCCAATCACATTAGATAAGTTGTCAGCTGAGCAGAGGCAGGAGCTCGAGCAGATGATGAGCACCGTGAAGGACAAATTCATGAACTCATTCCAGGAGACCCACGAGGGAACGGTCGTCCAAAAATATAAGCTCAAAGTGGTCACTGCCGATGAAGCTGGGACAAGTTCATCTCAAGGTGTTAAGGGTACTGCAGATTGCTCAGGTGATAAAGGTGATGGGCTTCAAGATGGCTTGGTCGAGGATCTTGGTGAAGATGGTACCGAAGAGCAACAACCTCTGAAATTCAACAGTTTCCAAGATCAAGTCGATTATGCTGTAAAGCATGCGTTGATGAACCAATTAGGAGTTATTGTCAATACTTTATCGAATATGATCAAGTCAATGGTTGATGGCACGATAGCTGAGCATCAAAATACGGGACCAGTTTATCTTCCAGGAGGTGTCTTCCCAAATTACAGAGAGTTGGTAACTGGTAACCAACAGCCCGCTATCAGTGCACCACCAGCCTAGCCGATGGCACCAGCTTCGGCTCCTGCGCCAGTTGCACCGTCATCGGCACAGAGGCAAATGACCAATCCCAGATTGCTGACCAGAGAACGACCATAGCATGCTGCGCAAAATATCAATCGGCTGACTCAGGAACAGGTTGCCACGATGTTTCTACCAACACCACCAACTACTGATCCAGTACAGTCAATGCTGGTTCAGTAAACACCACCAAGGCAGCAAGTAGTACAGCCGATTCAACAACAGGTGGTTCAGCCGATTCAGCAGCAAATGGTGCGACAAGTGCCAACTGGGTTGAGGACACCTGACAATCGGCAAAGACAACAGAATGTAGCTCAAGTTATCCCTAAGCATCTGGTGCATAATGTACAACCAAATCAATCGGCTGTGGCTCAAGTCGTTCCTAAACATTTGGTACACAATATACGGCCGAATTTCCAGAATTATCAAGGGGGTAATTTGAACTACCAGTATCAGCCTCCTTCACCTCATGTCCAGCATCAACAAGGTGGATCACCTCAATTGCAGACATTGCCTCAGTTCAGCCAGTTTGATCCGATGCAGCAACAGATGCAAGGAGTACCTCAACAGAAACCTTGGGCAGATGTGATGAGGGAGCAATTTGGCCTTAAGCCAAAGGACTCTGGAAATTTGTATCGGCACTTGTATCCTGAATGGTTTGAGAAGGTTTCATTGCCTAACCGATACAAAGTCCCAGATTTTTCAAAATTTTCATGGCAAGACAATGTTTTGACTTATGAACATATTAGTCGATTCTTGGCTCAGTGTGGTGAGGCATCGGCTGTTGACGCTTTGAGGGTTAGATTGTTCCCATTGTCCTTGTACGGATCGGTGTTCACTTGGTTTTCTTCTTTGCCTTACAACTCTGTCAATAGTTGGGCCGATTTGGAGAAACAATTACACAGCTATTTTTACAGTGGAGTTCATGAGATGAAGCTATCTGATTTAACAGCAGTCAGGCAGAGGCATGATGAAACTGTACAAGACTATATTCAGAGGTTCAGAGAGATGAGGAATACGTGCTACAGTCTGGCTTTGACTGATTCTCAGTTAGCCGATTTAGCTTTTCAAGGTTTGATAGCTCGAATCAAGGAGAAATTTTCATCCCAAGACTTTGAGAGCCTATTTCATCTCGCACAGAAGGTGACTATGCATGAGCAAAGGTTTGCGGAGGCTAAGAAGAATTTCAAGAAGATCAATCATGTATATCCTTACATTTATGACTCCGATGTGGAGGATGATTCCGAAGTAGCAGCAGCCGGGTGGGTTAGGAGCAAAAAGGTTGTGACATGCCCATTGGTGAGGAGTTCTGGAAAGGAGGAAAGATTTGACTTTGATATCACCAAGGCTGACAAGATTTTTGATTTGTTGCTTCGGGAGAAACAGATTCAACTTCCTGCTAGCCATATAATCCCATCGGCCGAAGAATTAGGCAAAAGGAGGTATTGCAAGTGGCATAATTCTGGTTTTTATTATACTAATGATTGCAAAGTTTTTAGACAGCAGATCCAGGTAGCCATTGAAGGGGACAAAAATCAAATTTGATGATTCAAAGAAGCCAATGAAGGTTGATGGTAACCCTTTCCCTATCAATATGGTGCATACTTCTGGGAGGACAGCCGATGGAGGAAGGAGCCAGAATTCTCAATTGAATTCGGTTAGGATTATCAACAAGTATCAGAAGAAGCATGATAAACAGCAGGAAAGGTTTGATGAAGAAGTTGATGATGGTTTTGATTCTCATTGGGATTGTGAATTCTTCAGATTTTATTGGAATCAAGGCATGAGGTTACCATCGATTGAAGATTGCCCTGGGTGCAGTGATATTGCAGGAGTTCAAGCCGATCGTATAACAGAAGCTATCGGCCGAGTCAGAAAAGGTTGCCTGTTCATCAGAGGTTGGGCCTGATCAATCAAGACCGTCACCAGGATGAAGATGAGGATGGAAAGACACAGTGGTGTCCTTCTGGTATTTTCACAAAGAATCAGAAGAGAAGAGTTCAACGGATGAGGAACAGGGAGCGTTTTTAGGAGGTACAACAAGAAATTAACCATCGGCTGAAGAAGACAAAGACCAAGCAAGAGTGGCGTGTTAAGAGCACGGTCACAACAGCCGATGAAGTTGAAGCCGACAAGACCAAAAGATTGCTCAAGGGTAAGGCTACTGCATCTGCATCGGTGAACATGGTTTTTATGCTGCCTGCAGAATTCGAAGCCAAGGAAGCCGATGTTGATGATGTTGAAGAAGCTTCTGCTAGATTGGTTTTGTCACCTAAACAAACAATTTTTGAGAAACCAGAGGGGACAGAAAATCGGCATTTAAAACCATTGTATGTCAATGGATTTGTCAACGGGAAGCCGATGTCCAAGATGATGGTTGATGGAGGAGCAACTGTGAATTTGATGCCATGTGCTACATTCAG